CCTGCTATCATCTTGTTGCCATCTCGAGAATATTACTGATTTTCATTCTGTCCAAAGCCATATCCTTCTAAGCAAAGTATCTTCTCAGAAGATACTTGAGAGCTTCTGAAAGTCATGTTAAAATAAGGACACTCGTAGTGAAGAATTTATATGTACACTGGAAGTACCAATTCTCTCTAGTTTGCATCTACACTGCCTTTTGAAAAGTCTAAATTAATCCCAGCAATAAAACTGCTGGGGTTTGTCTTCTGGTAAGCGTTTACTGAGTAAATTGCTGTTGTCTAATGTGACTTTTCTGTCTCAGGTTCTCATTCAGATTGTGGATGCCTCATCTGTGATCACATGGGATTTTGACGTGTGCAAGGGCGACATTGTTTTTAACATCTTTCATTCCAAAAGAGCCCCACAGCCTCCTAAAAAGGACTCTCTGGGAGCTCACAGTATTACATCTCCTGGTGGGAACAATGTCCAGTTGATAGACAAAGTCTGGCAGCTGGGGCGTGATTACAGCATGGTGGAGTCTCCTCTTATCTGCAAGGAAGGGGAGAGTGTGCAGGTAAGACTGGTGAATCCTCCTGTGGGAGCAGATGGAAGTTGGCTCCAAACCTGGATGTTCTCATTCACAATTGTTATTAATGACTGAGTGGTGATTCTGCTCCAGACTGTCTGCTTGCTTTTGGCTGACATTTCAGCTTATAGTTGCATTCTGCAGGGAAAGGGGGTAGGATTTACATGGGATCTGCTGTGAGGGGGAGGTTGCATCAGTGATTGAGATGGATCAGCAAGGAATAGAGGGAAGCCACCAAGAACATAGTGCACATCCAGAAGGTAGCAAGATGTGCTTTGTGCTGGAAGTTGGACCATTATTTTCTGAAGCCAACAGTGTTTGAAGAATACCAGGTCTGGAAATTAAGACTGAGCTTCTGTGTGTTTGTCCCTCTAAGAGACACCTTAAAGAGGTCCCTATGGCCAAGGTTCCTGAAGGTTTTTTTTATAGCATTTGCAACTTCATCTTTCATTACCAAGTTCAATATTGCAGCTGTATGTTGACAGTCACATTCTGCCACTGCTCTTCCTTTTAACTTGAAATAAGAGCCGAATAAGCTTTGAAAATGGAGCTCCTTAGGTCATCTAATTGAAAGTGTTAAACTGGAAATATGGGCAGTGACCTCTTGAACTGCACTTTCCCTTTCTGTGAGGCAGGATCCTAGACTGCTTTTTCATGTCTCAAAGGGCAGCATTAATGAAATTAAATGGAAAAAATGGATATTGTTTTAAACAAAACTTTGTCCTTTCAATGTTATTTAAATCCTAACCCCTTGACACTGTCAAAAAGCAGGAGGAACCACTGGTGTTCTGTCATAACAGTTATGCTGTGTGGGGACAGCTGACCAAGCACTCCCAGCTGGCTGAGGAGCTGAAATATTGACATTGGAGAAAAAATTCTGGGCACATAGGTAGTTTTTCTAAGCTTGGAAAAGAAATTCCGAGTCTACAAATCTGTGTGTTAACAAAAAGTTAATTTTCAATTTTTGCTGTGGCTGCTTCCAGGGATCCCATGTCACCAGGTGGCCTGGATTCTATATTCTCCAGTGGAAATTCCATAGCATGCCTGCCTGTGCTACAACCAACCTGCCTCGTGTGGATGATGTACTTGCATCTCTGCAGGTCTCCTCTCACAAATGTAAAGTGATGTACTATACAGAAGTAATAGGATCTGAAGATTTCAGGTATGTCTGGCCAAGGGTCATGAAGTTCAACCAAGGGTCATGAATGTCAGCCAATGTCCAACCTTTCTGATACTTACACAGTCAAACCAGTGTGAAGTTCATTTAAATAGAAGTAAATTGTGAGGAGTTGTTTCCTTAGGCTTCAAAAACCCTAAAATCCCCCCAGAATTCAACCAGTACTGGCACTGGAGGCAAGTAATATATAAAAGGGGTTAATTAGCTATATCATTTTCATCATTACTGGTCCAGTTGCTCTGCTTTGGAAGCATTTTGTGAGTTGCTGAGCTTGACAGGTTGTCATGTATAAATGAGTGCAGCTCACAATGAAGTCAAGTCAGCTCAGGCACCTGACAGTTGATTTACTTGACTAAAACCAGTTCTCTGTCTCCTTGAACAGCATCTGGTTTTTGCAAGGTGCTCAGTGTCCCCAGCACTTTATGTGGTGAGGCAGGAGAGCTCTTGCATTTCTGCACCAAAGCTATTCCTTGCTTTTTGCTTGTGCAAATTAATAGAATACAGACACACAGCAGAGATCAACCCCTACGTTCTGAACCTGAAAACGACTTTGCCTTTCATTGCAGGGGATCTATGACCAGCCTTGAATCAAGCCACAGTGGGTTCTCCCAGCTCAGTGCTGCCACCACCTCTTCTAGCCAGTCCCATTCCAGCTCCATGATTTCCAGGTAGTGCCAGAACAGATGAAAAGCAAATGGATGAGATGGCTGGACCCTCTCCCGTGGCAGCTGACTGCAACACCACGTATTCAACTGGCAATTGTGCAAAAAAACAATAATTAAAACCTACCCCTCAAAAGCCTTTTATAGATAGTAGCTCTTTGAATTTTAAACTTGAGATGTTTTGGTCCTTGCTAGATCCAACAGCTTGTCTCTTAACTTTAACCCTTTCTCCTACTCAGCCATAAGTATTTTTACAAGTGTGCTTGTACAAATCCTAACTGAACACAAGGGCTCTCACTGAAAGGGAAAATAACCAGTGCATCACTTAAGGATATCTGTTCTTTTTTTTTTTTAACCTATGTAAGTGTTAAAAAGCAAAAAAGAGAAAAACCCTACTAAAAAATGCTCCACAGTGCATTAGAGGCCAACTGCAAGTCTCCTGTCAGGACATTCCTTAAGCAATCCCCTGTGATCTTCAGTGCTGCAAACTCTTCTCCCATGGCCACTCGGTGATGTCCGAGACAAAGAAAAGCAGTTGCTGGAGACTTGACTTTGTGAGTCCATTTAATTTTAATTTATTTTTTTTTTCCCAAAGCATGCCCACAGAGCTCTGACTGGGCTTCAAACACTAAGACCTTTTTGTACGAGCACATTTTTGGGGAATTTTGAGCTCTGGGTCTGGATGGGTGGAAGCAATTTGTTCTTTCCTTGGATTTGCACTTGAAGCGCTGCAGAGAGAGAGGCAGGAGAGCAGGCTCTCCCTCACTGTGTCACACTGGGCTGATCTGCAGTTGGTCTGAGGAATTTGTTCTGTGTTGAAGCTTCACTTTCTTAGTACACTCCATGTGAATTGGTTTTCCTGAGACTCTGTTCTTACCAGCAATTTATATAGAGCTTAAACTTTGCTTCTTAAGTCAGTCTCGAGGAGGTATGGCTGTCATCCTTCCTCTGCACTTGCCAATCCCTCTTGTCTCCTGGCCTAGCCCTGTGCATGTCAGAAATAAAGTACTTCAGTTCTGAGCAGTGGAAGCTTTAATGTAGGCAGGGATCATGTAGGTCTTCACTCAGAGTGGTGCAGAAAATTCTCTAAGCAGTGCCTGCTCCACCATTTTCCCTGTTGCTGTTGCCTGTGGTGAATTGCCCTTCTGGATTTCACCCCTGTTCCACCCAGGCCCAAGCAATCCTACCTGAACTCTAGTTGTTGAAGGCTGTTCAGGTGTTCCCCCACTTCCAGCCCTCTCTCCCATGCACAGCAAAAAGCACAGAAGACTGAACTGGTGAGCAAAAGGCTGTCAGCACACAAGTACAGACTAAAGCTGGCAGTGGAGCAGAGAAGATTTCAGTCTGAAATGCAGCAGAATTTTTATCGTTAGACCCTGCTTAGTCTTTCCTCACCCTTTTAGAGCTAAACTATCCATCCAGGCCAAAAGGAGCCACTGTGCTGGGTGCAGTTCTGACCAGAAGTCTTGGGGAAGCAGCACTCTTGGGGCTAAGTGGTAGAAGAGCTTGTGAAGATCTTGCACTTTCAAAGCAGAATTCACTTAAGATACTGGATACCCTGCCTGAGGAAAGCTGGTTCTGAACTCTGTATGAATCTTTATGACTGCAAAGCTGAGAGGCAGGTTGCTAACCTCTAAGAGCACCTCTCCCACACACCAGGTCTGGCTGTGGAACGTGGCAAACAGGGCTGACCAGGTACTTTAGTAACAGATTTACAGGTGCTGAGAGGCCAGTGTCCTTCAACTGAACCAAACTGGTCTGTTTTGTTGGTTTTGGACTTCGAAATTGAAGATGGAGGTTAGACTTGTCCCTTAGGCTGCCACAGTGTGCTCTGTGCCAGACAGACCACTGCTTTGGTGTCAGGCTGTTCCCCCCAGTGTCAGCAGAGCCAACAGCCACGTGCTGTGGCTCTTGGGCTGCTCCTGTGAGCTCTGCCCAGGGGGAGCCCAGCTTGGAGAGCTGGTTTGATTCTTGACATGCGGGAACCAGTCTTCCCAGGTACAGGGGAGCTAGTGCAGCTGGAGGCACAGTGAGGTTGACTTAACAACACTCATGGCTCTCTGCAAATGCCACTTACCATTTACCAGGCTGTAAGGGCTGAAGATGGTCCCCTTTCTTTCTCTCTCTCTCTCTCTCTCTCTCAGATGGCGGTTTTGCTGACAACTGTAAAGAAACTGCTTCATTCAACACTCCACATCTGTCCAGAGGTGTCTGGCTTTGTAGACCTTTTTGAGTTGCAGTCACTTTTCAAGTCTGAAGATCTCTTATTTTGTTTTTCACTTGAGCTGGCTCAAAAGGGGCACTTTGGGTTTTTTCCTGCTGTTAACACATCTTTTACAGCTCAAAGCACATGGCAGCACAGGCAGCTGGGGAGAGACAATTCCAGTAAAACAATAGTTAATCCTCCTCTAAGCAAAGTGCTGTGGCAATATGACTTGATCACTGCAGTCTGACTAATTAATTTGCCATACCCTGGTCTGTCTTTGTGTGATATTATGGCTCTTCTTCCTTTTCTCAGCCAATGACTCTTCCGTTGGCTTTTTCCTTGTTATCAATGTCTTTCTGCACTCTCCTGTCTGTACTCATAAACTGCATATCAAGTTCTGTAAATGTTTTGTATACATAATACCTCATCTTGGTAATAAAATACAGATAGTCTTTAAAAGATTTTTTATTGTTATCAATAAATGTGAACTGTTTGGAAAAAAAAACCAATCAAACAGGGCAGCCTCTTTATTTCAGTCATCTGATTCAAAGCTTCCAGGTTCTTTTATGTGCTGAATTCCAAGTCTTCCAGAGCTGTTTGGTAGGAAGCAGGAGGAGGCTTCATCTGTCTGCCACTGTGGGGAAGCTTCAGCAAAGCCATCTGGCCTGGAGAGAAGAAACCTGAGCAGGTCCAAGGTATGAGGAAATGTGGGTTTAGAAGGAAAACGGCCTCTGCTGGGCACTTGCCTGTCACAGCAGAAAATTCTGTCCTCCCTGCAGTACATGCACACAGGTATTTTTACTAGTGTGTGAATAGACTAAAGGGAACAAAATAAGATGCTGGGAAAGTCCTAGGTAGCCCTAAAGCCTTTTTAGATGGCTCTAAAAAGAAAATGGTTGATTTTATGGATTACATGATGACTTTATACTCTTAGCACAATTTAAAAGGGACTTTCAAGCTCAGCAGTTCCTTGTGGGGAGGGTGTTACGTGGATTATCTAACAAGCACAGCCTGAGTACAGGGGAAGGTGTCTCATTTGCCCCTGTGCAGGCTGAAATGTGTCTGGCTGCCTGAACTAGTGAGTGCAATAACTTTTCAACCTGTTGATTTATTTTTGACCCAGTGGCCCTGCTGTAGGCAGTCAGGCCTGACTGTGTCCCTGGGCAGGTGCTGTCCTGGGAAAATCCAAGTGGTCTTAGTGCAGGCACTGCTGCCTGAGCAGGAAAACTGCCCCCAAACCTTGGTCCTTCCTGTCACCCTGAGCTCTGCAAGCTGCTTGGTGAGAGCCATGCTGCTCCCCGGGGTGCAGGGGGAGAGGGGTGACTCCAAAAGTGAACATCCAGCTGCACCAGGATGTTGAGTGGATGCAGCTGTCCTGAGGATTGGGGGTTTTTTAGCCGAAATGTAACAGTTTAAAGAGTAATTTTCTCTGGCTGAAGAATAAACCTGCAGCTGGACAGAGCTGTCCATGGGGGGGTTTGATGCTGCCCAACTCCAGGGCTGTGGAGGAGATGGGCTCCTGGGCTGCCCCCACCACTTCCACCACTGGGTGGGAGACTGAGACAATCACATTTGGGATTTAGGATACTTTTGTTATCAGCAGAAATAGATAAAGCTTTAGCTATTTTTAAACAGGAGCCAATAAATGTCAGGCTGTGCTTTTTCTAACCCCTGGAATTGGAGCAGGGGCTGAAACATCCATTTATGGTTGATCTTTCGGATTTTATCCCAAGCTGTAAAGTTTCTAAAATGAGAATCTTTTAAGGTCTTGGAGCTCTTGTCAGCAAGACCAGATGGTTGCCTGACCTACTTCAAGTTTTAACATGTGGCCAATATTCTTAGGCCAGTGCATGATTATAATGGAGCAGCTTAGTGCTGCTCTGGACGTTGCTGAAGACAAAAACCCTTGAAAAGTACATGGTATAAGGAGGTGGTTGTGGCTGTTCAGTTGTGCTGTGCCCAGGGAGGCAGTGGGAAAGCTGCTTGTCCCAGCCAACCCTCCTCTCTTGGAATGGCAACCACAACAGGGCCTGGTTTCAGCAGAACACAGAACTTCAGAGGGTTGTGTTTTAAGTTGGTTTTTTTGGTGGGTTTTTTTGGATGGGTTTGGTTTTTTGGTTGGTTTTGGGTCTTTTGTTTGGTTTTGGCTTTTTTGTTTGGTTTGGGCTGCTTGTTTGGTGTTGGGATTTTGTTTGGGTTTGGCTTTTTGTTTGGTTATTGGGTTTTTTTTCGTTTGGGTTTGTTTTTTTCTGTTTGGTTTTTAATTTTTTGTTTGGGGTTTTTGTTTGGTTTGAGCTTTTTGTTTGGCTTGGGGTTTTTTCTTTGGTGTTGGGGTTTTTGTTTGGGTTTGGCTTTTTTGGCTTTTTTTAAAAAAAAACAAAACAACAAAAATGGGAAAGTGAAAAGGAAAAGGGAGTTAAGATGTTGCAACACACGTCTCACACACTTGTCCCACACTGACCCCTCGGACCCCTCCTCAGGGTTACTGGTCCTCGGGGTGGGAAACTCACGTACTGGGGGGTCCAGGTCTGGGAGAGAAACCCCCGAGTGGGGCAGGGGGGTCTGGGAAGCCCCCGAGTGGGGCAGGGGCTCCGGGGCTGCCCGGGGCCAGGGCACAGAGCTGGGGGGGCTGCAGAGCAGCGGGTCCTGCAGAAACCCCACTAGATGGTGCCAGCAGCCCACGCACCGCCCCGGCCACCCAGTGTCCCCCAGCTCCCTTCCTGCTCTGCCTCCCCACCAGCACCCTAAGGCACTGGCCCATACTGGTCCGTACTGGTCCGTACTCTCCCCCTTTCGGGTCCCACGCTGGATTTCAGGCTCTGTTTGTTCCCGCTTTTCCTAGGGTAGGGATGTGCCCCTCGTGTGTGCGAGTTCTTGCAGGGGGAGGGACAAGGGCTGCTCAGGGGTCAGGGACACATGGGGCTGAGGTTTCTAGACTGGGGTGTGGTGATGCCACCAGCCTCAGCCTGACCCCCGTGCTGCCAACACCAAGCTCAGCACCCTGCTTGGAGCTGACACAGCTGGAGATGTGTGGCCCTGCATGACCAAAGCACCTAGACCAGCCCCAAGCAAAGCAGCCAGCAGGTATTTTTCTGGCCAGCCATGGGCCACTTCAGGGGTGAACGCTCCTGGGGCAGGTCTGACCCTAGAGAGGGGCCAGCTGCAGGTGAGGTCT